ACTTTGTTTTCTTGACCTTTAACCACAAACCCTTCAGGTTGATTCATATATATCTCTTCATCTAATTCACCATACAAGAAGACAGTTTTTACATCCATTTGGTGTATTTCCAAATTGTTAGTGGCTGCAATTGCAACTAATATGTGAATTGATGTAATTCTTGTAACAGGTGAATAAGTTTCAAAGAAGTCTTGACCTTCCTTTTGACAATACCCCTTAGCTACTAAACGAGCTTTGTATTTCTCAATGGTACCATCATGTCTAAACTTTTTCTTGAATATCCATTTGTGGCCAATTGGTTTTTGCCCATGTGACAAATATACCAATTTCCAAGTGTTATTCTACACAATGGAGTCAATCTCACTATTGATTGCCTCTTTCCAAAAGGGAGCTTCAGAAGAATCCATAGAATCCTTATAAGTTTGTGGTTCTTTATTCACTACATAGTCCAAAATCTTTGGCAATTTTGTCCCATTTGCTTCTTCTGGGTTCTAAGTTCTCTTCTTGAACCTTAGAAGAACTCTCTTCATTTGATTGTAAACGTTTGTTTGGCATGGTATCATTTAGTCCATCATCTAGAGGTCTTTTCCTAGAGTAGGTAAACTCTTTCCCTTTATCCTTAAAAGGAAAAATATTTTCAAAGAATTCAGCCTCTACTGATTCCATAATGGGTTGGTTATGGATGTCATCAACATGTGTTTTATACACAAGAAACCTATAGGCTGCACTATTCATGGCAGGGCCAAGATAGATGCAATCTATGGTTTTTGGTCCAAGTTTAGTCCTCTTAGGAAGAGGTACTTGTACCTTAGCAAGGCAACCCCGCACTTTCATCCTTTTATAAGAGGGTAACCTCCTTTTCCGTGGATGATAGGGTGATTTATCACTCTTTTTATGAGGAATTCTATTAAGTATTGTATTTGTTGCAAGACATGCTTCTCCCCACAGATTATGTGGTGCTCCAGAAGTAATTAACATTGAATTAATCGTGTTTTTCAATGTTCTATTATTTCTTTCTGCCACTCCATTTTGTTGAGGAGTATATGGAGCAGTTGTTTGATGTATAATACCATTTAAAGAACAAAATTCAGCAAAGTCTTTGGATTCATATTCTCCTCCTTGATCAGACCTTAGAATTTTGATATTTTTATCAAGTTGATTTTCAACTTCAGCCTTGTAATTCTTAAAAGAATTCAAGGCTTCATCCTTGCTATTTAACAAATAAATATAACAATACTTGCTGCAATCCTCAATAAAAAGATATATAATAATTCTTTCCTCCTCTTGTAGGTGTTGCTCTAAAATCACATAAATCAGAGTGGATTAAGCCAAGTATTTCATTAGATTTTTCAACCGATTTATGAGGATGTTGTGAAAATTTTGATTCTACACAAACCTCACATTTTATGTTTTTATCTAATGAACATTTTGGTAACATGCCAAGTTTTGCCATTCTTTGAATATAACGAAAATTGACATGTCCCAAACAGAATGCCACAAAAATGAAGGATCATGCATATACATAGAAGAGGGGCTAGTAGTGCCCATTATTGCATTAGCATTAACATTGGTTACATCATTGTTTGGTGTTTCAACACCATAGTACAAAGGTAAGACACTGACTATGAAGAGACCCTCACTAAGGTAACCCTTTCCAACATCCATGCCACCCTTATTGAGAACAAACTTATCATATTCAAATACAAGTTTGAAGCCTTTGTTACTAAGAATAGGACCAGAAATCCAATGCTTAGTAATTTCAGGAACATGTAAAACATCACTTAAAATATGTTCTTTTTCGGAAGTCAGTTGCACCTTCACTTTTCCCTTTCCTTCAACTTTTGCAGTAGAGCCATTCGCCATAAATATTGGTTTAGAATCTGAGACTTTCTGGTATGTAGAAAACATGGTTCGAGAGTTGCAAATGTGCCTTGTAGATCCAGTATCAATCCACCAATCCACACAATTGCTAACCATGTTGGTTTGAATCACTACAACAAACTGATTTGGTGATTCAACCATGTTGGTTTGACCAGAATTTCCTCCACCGGAATTACCACCATTGTTCCCTTTGTTCCCTCCATTGGTTCCTCCTTGACGCCTCCTGAATCTGCAATCTTTGGCCTTGTATCCAATTTTGCCACAAACATAGCATGGACCAGAATTCTTCTTGAAATTCTTCTTGTTAGGGCCATGATTTTTGCCATCTTTGGAAGAGTTTTTGGTGCCTTGCTTCCCTTTCTTGTTGTTGTGCTTTGTCCTTGAAGTACTTGCTTCTCCAAAAAAAATTGCACTTGGTTCCAAGGAATTTGCATCTGCCTTCTCATTCAATCTGTTATCTTCTTCCACACGAATTCTCAACACAAGTTGCTCAAAACTCATGTCATCAGTTAAGTGTTTAAGATATAATTTGAAATTCTACCAAGAGGAAGGAAGTTTTTTAATGATTGAACCAACAAGTAAGTTAGAGTTTATACCCATACCTTCAACTTCAAGATCATGTGCAATAAATTGAATTTCCTCCACTTGTTTGAGGATAGATTTGGTATCCACCATCTTGAAATTCATGAACTTTCCAATCATGAATTTCTTGGAACATGCCACTTCTGTTTTATATTTCTTTTCCAATGATTCCCAAATCTCTCTTGTAGTAGTGATAGTAGAGTAGATATCATAAAGGGAATCATCTAGAGTATTTAGAATATAATTTCTGTAATTATATTCATTTGTGTTCCAAGTTTCCACGACCCTTTGGTGTTCTGCCAAGTGGGTTGCAGTGGCTGGTGTAACTCCTTATGTAGTAGTTTTCCCAGTGGGAGGAGAGGGAGAATAATCAGTGAGAACATCGGAAACATGAAGAGTTGTTAGATAAAACAACATCTTTTGTTACCATCTCCGAAAATCTGAGCCTTTGAATTTCTCAGGTTTTTCCACATGTGTTTTGATGATGGAATTTTGATCCATTCTTCACTCTTTGATTTTTGTCTTAGATTGTTATGACAAAGTATACAATCAAAACAACTAATAGAAATAAAACAAATGAAATTGAAATATATATATATATATATATATATATATATATATATATATATATATATCTGTGTGTGTGTGTGTAATTTATAAGAATTAGTTTATAGAAAACATACTTGAAGATTTATGTTTACAACAGAAACACAAAAACGAAATTATGTAGATTGAGGCCTGCAAATTGCAGTGTTCTAAGACAGAAATTTCCTTGGTAGGGATCTATCTAAAGGATACAATAATCAATCTAAGAAGTAATCTAGAATTTGTTGATATTTCTATGTCCCCTTCATCTTCAGGAAGAACAAATTTTGAAGAGAATTTGTGGTGATTGTTTCTATAACCCCTCATAAATGACATAAAACATATATTTATAGGTATTGATTATGACAATTAAAAACTTTCAAAACCGAAAATAACTTCCAAATACCTGTCATTTAATGATTATGAATTTGATAAAAAATAAAAATTAATTTTGTAATTAATATATATATATATATATATATATATATATATATATATATATATATATATATATATATATATATATATATATATATATATATACAAGAAGACCCCTAAGGCCCATAGCCCATCTTTTGATCATTAAATATTCTCTTGATATTAACCAATTTTAGTCCAATTAGGCTAGTCCAATACCACAAACCAAGCTTAATATGTTTCACCCATTACTTGATCCATTTGTTTATGTGACTGAGATAAGATGTATAAGATGGGAAAAGTTTTTCTCTTCCACCAATGTGGGATAAATCGGACATTGTATATTGGGAAAATGACTTATGAAGGTAAGTAACTATTTCGATTGTCCACATATAGGTAATATTCTTTTTTTTTGTTCTCAATAATGGAACAAACTTGTCAGTTTTGTTCATATTAAGGTAGTATCACCGGCTATTACCTGTTTTTGCTTATGTGGCAGCCATCTGGCACATGAGTTGAATACGTTGCACCTACATGGCTTTGTGCTTATATCATCTTCGTTTACAGTATAAGAAGTCGTTCAAGTACACCCGATTTTGAACCCTAGATCTACGATGGCTTCTTCTTCCTCATCTTATTCTTCAAAATGACAAGATGATTTTCAAGCTGATCATCCATGTGATTGCAACTTACCATCTCGTGTGAAGACTTCAAGAACCCCTGACAATCCTGGAAGAAAATTTAGAGTTTGTCAAAACTCGATGGTAAGCTGAATACGTTCCAACTTTCTTCTTCTCCATCTTTTTGAATAACCTTTCTTCTTTTTCATCCTTTAACCTAACATTTTTTTAATTTTTCTTCAAGAATGGAAAAAGTCCAAGCTGTAAATTCTGGCAATGGCTGGATGAGGATGAAGGGAGGACAGATGGAAGAAAGCCTTACTGGAGGAAACCAGAAGAAAGCTGTAATTTAACCTTGAAAATTTGCACTTTGGAGAATGAAATCAGCATATGTAGAATGAAGATCGAAGAAGACAAGAACACCAATTTTGTTAATAGACAGGAACTGGACAAAGTCAAGTGGGAGTTGTTTACTCACAAATTGGCACTGATTTTGTTATTTGTATTGTATGTGAAAATGTGGATTTCATTGTAGTTCATGATGTATTAGGGTTGAATGATGTAGTTCATGATTGAAACATGATTGGTATTAGAATGATGTAGTCCACCTGTTATTGTGTATGGTTATGTATGTTATGAATGGATGAAATTTTTGTTACATGTTTTTGCTTCTAAAGTTTTTGTTACATGTTTAGAATGAAAAGTAATTAAACACTGGAATGGTATACATTGAAACATTAGGATATAATATAATATAATCTAACATGGGAATGTAACATTGGATTCCAGGAAACATTGTTTGCAAAACAGTGGAATTTAACACAGTTACATATGCATTACTGCCAAAAGGTACACATATTACTAGACAAAAGATTCCCAGTCAATGATGCCAAAAAAACAACAAATTATGAAATTCTAATCCAATTCCATTGGTTTATCACAACTACTCCCCTCTTTTCCCTCCCACTTCTTTCTTATTTGAATTTTTGTGATTCTTCCTGAAGGTTTCCTTCTTCTCTTTCCCTGTAGAACCTGAAATGCTGGTACTTCCATCATATGCTCCTCTTCCACTGGATCTTGGACTGCAGCCTGTCCTTGGTCATCTTGTCCAACTGGATCTTGAATTACTTCAACTTCAACCTGTTCAACTTGATCTACATCTCCAGCCTGGTATTCACCTTCTTCAACTTCAACTTCAACAAGTGCTTCAACATGTTCTTCAACTTCAACCTGTTCTTCAACCCCTCCAACTTCAACCTTTTCTTCAGCTTCAACCTCAAGTTGGTCTACATCTTCATATGTATGATTACCCTCTTCATAATCAACTTCATAAGACTCCACCTCACTATCAGGCTCCCTTTGAACTTCACTGTCACTATCACTTTCCAAATCAATTTCTTGATTCAATTCAACCTTCACTTTACCTGTTATGAAATAACTCAAATGTTAGAATTACAAGCTGTTTTATTGTAATCAAAAGGTAAATGAGGAGAAATACCTTTTTTGTTAGCTTTTTTATATTTTGACTTTGACTTTGGATTTGAGGATTCCCCACTTGGTTTTTGAGGACATTTTGCTTTATTATGCCCTGATTCTCTGCATATGCTGCATCTCATAGCAATTCCCCTTTTTGAGACTGTATGCTTATTACCCTTTAGTTCATTCTCAATCTGATCCCTTTTCCTTTTTGTTGATGGTCTTCCTGGCATTCTTCTCATTTTGGGAGGCAATGGCTTGATGTAATCCACATCAGGCCACATATCACTACCATTTAGTGGCTTAATGGTGTACAAGTAGGCATTACAAAACATTGTTGTGGTCAACCATGGTGATACATAGTCCTCTGGATCCCTATTGAGGTTTGAAATTGCAGCGTATGCATGTACATAAGGGTACCCAGTTAATTGCTAGCCTCTACATCCACATGTTTTCTTACTAAGGTCTACAGCATATGCATCTTGTAAAAGTCTCACTTCAAATTGTTGATAACCAGATGGTACAACTCTCCAAAATTTGTCCACATACACTTAAATGTAAGTGTACACAATTGAATATCAAACATATAAGTTGTAAGTATATAAAAGGTATTCAATCACTAACCTTTGAAGTGTCTTAATCTTGGACAATTTCAGTCTGATGGTAGGACATATGTTTAAGTCTCCCCAAGAACTTCCCTTACTTTTTTGTATACACAGTCTCTCCCTCACATAAATTCTAATTTCCTCTAACATAGTGATTAGAGGTCTCTTCCTGGCAGCTGCAATGATTGAGTTAAAACTCTCAGAAACACCATTTTCATATGCATCACATGCCCTATCAGTTTGAAAGAATGCTTTACTCCAAGTTTTAGGGTCCTTCTCCATTAGATGATCATATGCTAGTGGTTCTATCTTCTTGATTTCATTCATATGTTGCTCAAATTTAGCCTGGGTAGTAGAAGCAGCAGCTCTCCAGAAAAGTGTACTAAACTGTTGACCCTTGAATTTTTTCATGAAATTAGCACATATGTGTCTTGCACATTGTCTATGCTCTGCTGCAGGTACCCTTTCCTTGACAGCCTCAAGTAATCCCTGTCAGCATTACAAACAAAACATAAACTTCATATAAATTAAGTATTAAATAAAGAGACCATATAAAATCATTACTTTATGCTGGTCTGATATTAATGTCAACCCATGTCCATTTCCCATTCCAATGTCATCAAGGAGAAGGTCAACAAACCACTTCCATGTTTCCTTACTCTCAACTACAACCACAGCCCAAGCAAGAGGGTAGATATGGTTGTTTGCATCCCTGCCTACTGCAGCAAGCAACTGACCTCTGCAAATACCTTTTAAGAAGCAGCCATCTAGTCCAATTACCCTTCTACAACCTTTAATCCATCCATCCTTCACACCTTTTAAACATACATAGAACTTTGAGAAGTAAGTGGCTCCATCAGGCATGGCATCTACATCCATTTTCACTGTTGATCCAGGGTTAGTCCTCCTTAGCTCTTCTCCATAGCTCCAAGTTTTAGCATAGTGTTCCTTTAAAGTACCCTCTATCTCCTTAAATGCATACCTCCTTGCATTTCTGCACTATCCCACACTTGCAATCAAATTAAATGTCTTGCTAACTTTAGCCTTCAATTTCCTCACACTCATTTTTGGTTTCTGGAGAATCTGATTCATGAAATGATTACCTATCCATTTATAGGTAACAATGGACCCAAACTTGAAGACTCTTGAGCAATTGTGGTTATCAATTAAAGATTTAATCTGGAATGACCTTTCATTGCTCATCCAGGTTGCCCACAACCTAAAGAGACAGCCTTTATTATTCTTGTTCTTCTTACCTTTACAACACTTCACCAGTAACCTGTTATGATCACTTTTTTCGTACCACAAGTCATACCCATTCTACACTGCATAATTGGTTGGACATAGCTTCAATTGCATTGGGTTTGCAAACTTCATACCTAGAATTGGCATCATCTTATCCCATGCTTGGTTCTCATCATGGACAGGGAATACAACCTTCTCATCTTTTCCATCATTAGGTTCATCATCATCACTAAGCTTACCTGAAAGTTTGTTTAAAAAATCATCACCAACAGTTTTGTTAAAGGTATGGACTTCTTCATCCTCTTCATGCTCATATGCCATAATACCATCCAAGTTATCATCTTCTTCACTATCATCCTCTTCTACATTCTCATCCTCTTCTACATTCTCATCCTCTTCTTCACTATCATACCCATTACCATCTGGTAACACCTCATTTTCAGCCCAATCAAGGATTGGATCATTTTGTTGGTCAATGTAGACATCCAACTCAGCTTCAGGAGTATAAGTAGCTTCAACAAACTCCCAATAATCAGCATCACTCTCAATTCTTATAATACCCTCACCTAAGGTTTCCTTTCTACTACAGTAGTACACATTATCACAACTTCCATTTGTTAAATTCCTAAGCCACAAAAGAAACTCTTTGTAGGAAAACCCTCCAAAATCGACATCACGCACTGTTATCTTTTCGAGGTCTAAGTATTTCAATGGATTTCGGGAAAATACTCCACTGTAATGAACATCTATAGTTAAATACATACCTGTAGGTGATTGGGACGCCATCTTACAATCGACTTCAACACGTGATTATGATGAATTTGGTGAATCGAATCTAGGTGGATCGAATCTACAATCGGGAGGTGATTATGTTGAAATTGAACGTATAGAACCCTAATTAAATGGGAGAGGGGAGTAATGGCCACGTAAGAATCCACGTAATTAGTTTTAAATGAGTAACACTGAGTAAAAACGATGAAACCGGTTAAAAACGGGCAAAAACAGGTAATAGCCGGTGATATTACCTTAATATGAACAAATCTAACAAGTTTGTTCCATTAATGAGAACAAAAAAAAGAATATTACCTATATGTGGACAATCGAAATAGTTACTTACCTTCATAAGTCATTTTCCCTTCTATATTTCTAAAGCAAAGTTCCAACAAAAACTATCCTTAAAAATCTGTTACAATTAAATTACTTTATGGCTCTAATCTAAACAATTGATAATCATATTGTATGACATTTTTTAGTTACGTTTAAACAATTGGTAATCATATGAAGCTTATGGTGTTTAATTAGATATGTTGGAATATTAATTACTGTTTATTATATGCTTAAATAAATATGATAATCTATGTGGCGTAATTGTATTTTGTGACACTCTAGTTTATTTTCCGCATTAGTGTGGAAAAAGCTAGATTTCTTTTTATCTTTCACTAATTTTATTTTAAAAAGAAAATCATTTCACTGATGGAATACTGAAGGAAACGTCTGTCACAAAAAGTTAAGGGTATTGGTCGGTAATATGTCACACCGTCGGTAATCGATCACTAAAAGTATCTATCAATAATACGTCACTAAAAGGTATATGTTGGTAGTCTATCACTAAATGTGTTTGTCGGTACTTCATCATTATTCCGTTGTTAAATTGGTCATAGAAGTTTAACAAAGGGAAGTTGCTATCCATTTGTAATCCGTAACAATTTTTTTGGGTAATATTTACCAACGGGTTTTAATGACAAACCTAATTCAATCAGTATTCCGTTGAAAACGGGCTTTACTGACGGATAAAGCCGTCGGTTAATGCCCGATTTTCTAGTAGTGTTATTCCAAATATTTGTTACTCAAAAGATCTAGGAATGAATTTTCACTTCTTAGTTTGACAAGTCGAGTTGAAATGTTGGATACTAACATTTCATGGCAAGTTGCCTTCAATAAATGTATGTCCTTAGATCTTTGGACAAATTAATGACAACCACAATTTCCTATAGGATTTCCCATTTACACCGATGGTTCCAATATTGTTTGATCAATAACATATGTAGATTTTCTTATTTAAGATGTCACTAAACAGATTTCATTATTATATTTAAGAAAACTGAAGTGTTCTTTTCATTTTTCTTCGGATCAATCCTCCTATTATTTCTAAAAGCATCTATAATGGTGAGTTCAATGGGAGAGTTGAATGAGATGGCAAGTCTATGTGTCATTTAATAAATGAAACTCTATCATTGTGAGATGCTACCTTTACATTCAATGAATTTGAAATTCAATGGTCATTGAACTTTTCAATGGGAAAAAAGAAAAGTTTTTAATTCATAAATATTTACTATGAATTACATTTTGTAACATTCTATTGAACTTTTATTCATAATTATAGTTCAGTATAGTTCAATAGAAAGGTTTAATGAAGTGACACACCTATTTATCATTCAATGTATTAAACTCTTCCATAGTAAGATGTATTCGTCACATTCAATGAGTTCGGAATTCAATGGTCATTGAACTCTTTAATGGGAAAAATAAAAAATTTTAATTCTTTAATATATACTATAAATTATATTTTGTTATTTTCCATTAAATTTTATAGAGTTTAATGCATTATAAAATAAAATTGATAGAGTTATATGGAAGAATTTCAATGTATTCTAGATGCCCACAAGTATAATATATAATTACTTTGCTTTTTGGATAGACAAATTAAATATCCTCCTACCTAATTAAATTGTGACATGTATATCATTTAATGCTTATTTAATAAGATTTAGTGATATTTTAAGATACTAATATGATACATATCATCATTTAAATGGGTAGGAGGATTAATAGGATCAAAAGGTAGAAGAATATTTAATTTCTCTTTTGGATAACTTATATAAAGTTATATAAAGTCTGGTAGAAATATAGAAATATATAGAATAAAACTCTAGCTTATTATAAACGCAATAACCCTAAACGGAGGATATCATATAAAAGGAAACTAAAATTTAAATCACACTTATGAATGGTAACAACAAAACTTCAACCATGGTGCAAATTCCAATATTGTTTTGTTTATTCATTGTTGACATGCAAAAAGATTATGAATTCAATTTCCGAATATAAATATTAAATACAACACAAAAATTATTATGTGTAAATTCAACTCTCCTTATGCCGATTTGCATTCGGGGGGAAATCCTTGAGGAAATCTCTTGGAATCCGAGCAGTAGTTATAGATCATGTAATTCTTTTGTGCCCATCTTAGTCTCTCCTGCTTCGTATTATCCAACTCCTCTGATAGCCATGCCGGGTTGTCAGAGCCACCGCAAGACGATTTCCCAGATGACACAACACAAGCATCGGCCTTAAAGTTTCTGTATGAAGCAGTGAAGGGAGCTTTACTCCAATCAGTCTTCACAAGTCCACCCCTGGTCGCCCAATCATCAGCATTCCATAAACTAGAGTGTATTCTCATAGGTTGATCTTTTGGAAATGGTACCCCATTCGATTCAGCGTTCTTGAACTCCCTAATGGGTGTTCCATCAACAGAAAATCTGAAAAATCGAAAAAAGGAACATCAATAAAAGATCGAATAATAGAACAATTAACCAGGATAGCTTAATGGCTTATTATATGTATAGTATAAACATACGAAGATACTTACACGATGCTTTTAGGGTTCCAGAGGATAGAATAGGTGTGGAAGTCAGCAGTGGGGTCGAACCAAAGGTAAAATTGCTGCTCTCTATTCCCTTTTCCTTGGCTAAAGACATTTGTATGTAGAATGTAAGGATCACCACTCAAATTACCCAAGAACTCGAAATCGATCTCATCCCAGTTTGACCCCTTCGAAGACAACTGCAATACAATCACAAGAAACCATGTTTAGTATCTATTTTGCTTCTCGTTTTTACAAATAGTAAAACTCCCCAAGAGATAAAACTTAAAAAGTAACTTACATAGTAGGCAGTGACAGTGCCAGCAGAGTTTCCAGCTACAAGCTTAAGCTGCATATCGATTTTTCCAAACATATATTCATTTCTTGATTCAAAGCCGGAGCCAGATGAATTATCAAGGGAGAGCGTTAAGAGGTCACCATTGAGTATTTTACCACGGCCGTTACCCCAAGTGATATCAAACTCATTGTAGAAATCGGCGGAGACAATTGAAGTACCCACAAGAAATAGGAGCACCAGATAGAAACTTGGAAACCCTGAGGAAGAAGAAGAAAACCCCATTTTCAGAAATGTTTGCGTTTCTTTGTTTGGTTAAGGTAATGTGAAAATAGAAGAAGCGAAGTTTGCTGTATTTATAGGGTGTTCGAAAGTTTAAGGGAAGATGAGGAGGAAGGTGACCTAAGTAATCTTTAAGTTGGTGAGATGATATTGGTTGTAAAACAGCTGGTATGTGGGGGAATAGTATTTTGACGTAGTAGGGAGATGGTGCACTTTTGTTATTCCAGACTAAATAATATTAGTGACGAATGGTGTAGGTCACTTCAACATCGAATCCATCAATACTATAAGAAATATGGCTTTTTCACGCGGTTTTAAAGTAACTATAATATATATATATATATATATATATATATATATATATATATATATATATATATATATATATATATATATATATATATATATATATATATATATATATATATATATATAGAGGTTCAATTAAGAAAATAAAAAATATTGAAAATGGGGAAATCATTCTCAGCCAATCATTTATCTAACATGTTCAAATTAAAAAAAAACGCGCGTGTCCATTTTCATTAAGGGTATCTTTGTAAATTAGCAACTTTTTTACATAGAACTTACCTGTTCGTGTTAGCAGTTTCCAATTTGATGATATCTTTATCTCGTTTGAATCGGATATGAGGAATTCATTATCAAGATTATTTTCTTTATATAACTCGTTAGCAATTATACGTTTTCATTCCATTAATCGTGAAGTTTCGCATCTGTGTTTCAGTTTTCTACTTCATTTTCAGTTTCCGATTTGATCAAGTATGTATATCGTTTGAATCGGATAGATCGGAGTTCATTATCAAGATTATTGTTTTTTATAATTTGTTTGGAATTACGCTTATTATATTCGTTTTGGAGTTGCTTTATCGGAGTTCATTATCAAGATTATCAAGTTTCGAATATGTATTAGAGTTATTTCATCGAATTTTTGTTAAGTAATTTGAGATATTTATTTCATCAGTTATATCGTTGTAGTTTTTACGCTCTGTACTGAGAGAGATTGCTTAATTACATCATATGATCATATATGATTTAAGTTTCTTTCAGATATTTTGTACGTTGAGGTGAGATATATTCGAAATTAACCAGGTTTTCATCTTTACGACTTTTTTTTGTGAGATATATTCGATATATTCGATATTAAGATTGTTTTTGTTTATTTATATAGATCATTTGGTGTATTATGTCGAATTTTAGTGTTACTGATGGTGATTTGTATTCTTATATGAGTGAGAGTGAAGAAAAAGATGTTGAAAACTCATTTTTTGAAAGTATCAGTTATTGAATTATTTTGTTGTTTTTAATTTTGTTGATTATCAATTATTTACATATGAATATGTTAATATGAATAAATTGTTGTCTTATTCATATATGAATAAACGTGTGATAATTGTAATTTCGAATTTATTATTTTTTTTCGTTTTATTCATATATGAATAAGTTATGTTTTATTTACATATGAATATGTTAAAATGAATAAATTGTTATCTTATTCATATATGAATAAACGTGTGTTAATTGTAATTTCGAATTTATTATTTTTTTCGTTTTATTCATATATGAATAAGTTATGTTTTATTTTATATATTTTGAATCCTCATGAATTTTATGTATTCATATATGAATGTTTTTTGTTTTATTTATATGAGTTTTATGTATTCATATATATTATTGTTTTATTCATGCATTATTATTTTAGGTGGTGAATCTTCAAGTTCAGTATATGATGCGCAATATTTTGATGATATAATTGGAGAACATGTCTATAAGCCAGATGTACCTATTCAAGTTATTCCATTTAGGGGTTTAATCTTCAAATCATTAAAGTTGGCTATCAAAATGTACTCTGAGTATGCTGAAATTGGTGGTTTTGATGTTAGATTGAGCACACAGTCAAGATTTGATAACAAGATTATAAAGAAGAAACATGTTATATGTAATCGTGGTGGTAACCAAAAAAAAAAAAGAAATCTTGTGACACATTAGGTACAAGTAGTGTTAGGAGGAAACGGAATTCAAATTCAAGAGCTATTGGTTGTCAAGCAAAGATTATATTTGAATTTGTGTATGGAACTCTAGATTATAAAGTTTTTCAGTTTGATGGACTTCATAACCATCCACTTGAGAAGAGAAGTGATTTAAAAAAGGTGAGACAAATGTCATATTCAGAAAAAGAGTTTATTGTGCGTGCTTCCACATCAAAAATAGATCCAACTATGGCTCATAAGTTGAGGGCAAGTTTGAGAGGTGGGTATGAGTTTGTAAAGCCCAAAGTAGTTGACTATAAAAATTTAAGGAGAGATATCAACAGGGTTATTGGTTACAAAGATGCCCATATGATAGTAAACACAATGAATGACCGTCGAGCTCACTATCCAAATTACTCATTTGAGTTTAATTGTCAAGATGAGGTTTTGGACTGTATGTTTTGGGCTGATTAAATGGAGAAGGCATATTATGCTGAATTTGGTGATGTTATCTCGTTTGATGCGACTTTCCGAACAAACAAGTAAGTTATTTTATCTACTTTTGTTTATAGCTTATTCATATATGAATATTTTTATATTCACTTATTAATACATCAAAAATTGACTTTAATGAACATTTTTTTTATGTTAGGTATCGAATGGTTTTTGTTCCGTTTACTGCTATTGACCATCATAAAAAATCGATTACTGTTAGATCTTGGTTGCTAAGCAATGAAAGCATTGAGACTTACTCTTGGTTTCTTAAAGCATTTCTTAAAACTCACGAGAAAGAACCAACACTTGTTTTAACCGATCAAGATGCTGCAATAAAACAACTTGTTGAGAATGTGTTTCGTAATTCAAAGCACCGATTATGTATGTGGCACATAATGAAAAAGTTGAAAAAAAAGGTATTATTTTAATATATTTCAAATATATTACTTATTAGTATATTCATTTATGAATATTGATTGTTATTTTACTTATTATTATTTATTCATTTATGAATATTTTTGTTTTAATACGGATATTAGATGATTTATTTACAAACACAGACTTTAGAAAAAGGTTTTCGAAGCTTGATTGGGACATTAATATGAAACCTGATATTTTTGAGGTGAAGTGGGGTTTGCTTATGACGGAATTCAATCTTGAAGACACAAGATGGTTTAAAGACATGTTTACAATACGTGATTCACGGATACCTGGATATTTTAGTGATATTCCAATGTGTGGTTTGATGAAGACTACATCGAGGTCAGAGAGTATGAATTCATTCTTTAATACATATTCAGAAAGTAGGAACTTACTTTTGAATTTCATGATGAATTACAACACTGTTATTCAAAAGCAAAGGAATACTCAACGAGAGCTTGATAAGGCATCAAAGAAAGCATCATATAAAATGCAAACACCTAGAGAAATAGAACTGCAAGCATCAAAGGTTTATACAAGTACATTATTTTTTGAGCTGCAAAAAGAAATATATAAAGCATGTTTTTTCTATACATACTCATATGTTGGTATTGAATATGGTTAGGAAGTTTACATTTTACAACACAACAACAGTAAAAGTGATTTTAAAAATGAATTTAAGGTAATTTTACTTGTTTTTTATGAAAAATATAAGAATATTCATATATGAATATGAGAATATTCATATATGAATATGAGAATATTCATATATGAATATCAATATCCATATATGAATATATGAATATATGAATATATGAGTGTTGATATGAGTATTGTTATATGAATGTAAATGTGTAAATTTTGTTTTTGTATCATGTTGAAATAAAAGCTTAAGAGAAAGAAATAAATTGCAGTTGTGAACATTTTAAGCGTATGGATGTTTTATGCAGACATGCTTTTACAATAATGATGAGATGTGGTGTTAAAGAAATTCCCGAAAGGTACATTTTGAAGGGATGTAGAAAGGATGTGATATCAAGAAATTATTGTTTTAGTTCTGTTCAATCCGATTCAGGTGATTGTGAATGTAAAGCTAGTCAATGGTTTATATTATAGTTTTGAATCATGTTTGAATATTGTAAGAGATGACAAAAAGAGATTGGCTTTGTTTGTTGAGAAACAACAAATGTTGTTGAAGGAATTTGAGAGTGATTATATTTCTCCTGGATTGAAAAGCAAGACAGATGGTGAAGTCGTATGCAAGCTTTTGGGTGTTACTATTCCTATTCCAGAAGAGATTAATATTCATGTTCCTGAAGTTCAAAGCAATAAAGGTTCTGGGATCAAGAATAGAATTCCAAGTGTAAGTGAAGTAGCATATGAAAATTCTAAAAAAGAACATAGAATGTGTTCAGGATGTGGAAAACGAGTTCCACACAATTTATGTACTTGTCCAGAAAGAGTTGGAGCTGCTAACTCAGCAAAAGACAGATAGGGATTTTTTAGTTTTTTTTTTTTATATGTTTTTTGTTTTATTCATTTATGAATATATGCAGATAAAAACAATAAATAATAATATTCATGTATGAATAATACACATTTATATTGATATGGTAAATTGATATGTTGATATTTGTTTTTTAAATTACTATAAAATAAGTTATATTGATATTGTAAATTATTTATAAATGAATACAAATATGTGAAATTTGTTATACTAATAAATAAGTAATATTCATATCTGAACTTTTTTATGTTAATATCTGAACTTTGTTATACTAACATATTAGTTTGAACTTATTCATAAATGAATATATCATATTCGTATTCATTTATGAATAAATAAAAATAAAGTTTGAAAATATTTGAATATAAAAAAATGATATAAATAAGCAAACTTGTTTCTACTAATAAGTTAGTTATATTCATATATGGAATTTGTTATATTCATATATGAACTTTGTTATACTGACATATTACTCCTAATTTAATCATATATGAATATATCATATTCGTATTCATTTATGAATAAACATAAATAAACTTTGAAAATATTTAAATATAAAAAACTGACAGAAATAAGCGAAGTTGTTTCTATTACATAATCATTCAACACAAGATAATAAAAGCTATTCATAAGCATTTCACAAAATATTAAGACGATGTTCAATAACATTTAACAAACCATTTAAAACTTGTTTCGCAGAATCATCTTACATGTACTTCAAATCCATTCATCTTCAACACAAACTGTTCTATAGCATCACACTTCAACATTCTTTCATCTTCACAAGCAATCATCAATATTCTTTTAACCTTTTTTGAATTTTTTGCATAGCCTAGTATGCATGATCAGTACGCACTTTGAATTCAACTTTTTGATATTTTTCAGCAAGATCCAACACCTTAGCCTTCAACATGTTAATTTCAAAAGTTAGCATTATGTGTGCATATTGTTGCCTGAGCTTCTCTAAAGTAGTTTGCTGAACTGCACTTTCTTTATGAAGACCTGGTTTCCACTTTGAGAGTGGTTGTCCCATATAGGTCTCCATATGTCTCATTGCAAAGACCCCACAATCAACTTTGTTTTTAACTGTTCTCCATGACATTTCAAGTCGTTGGGGTTTGATACTTTCTTTTGAGATTGCATTTGCTCTTGGATGGTTTATTTCTTTAAAGTATCTCACAAACAAATTTTTTTGATCATTAAATAAAATAAAAGTTACATATGTAATAAATTGGTTCTTTTATATTGTTGTGAACTGGGTACATACCAAAGGTTTCAATATTACACCGTATTTCCCTTCATAATCCCCCTCAACTACACTATTGTCTAGAATTTCAATTGACGGTTTCTTTAAGGTGAATACAATCACAAAAATGTGAGCACTTCTAACAACTGGAAAGAATACATGTTTTTATGTATATAATGGTAATTAATTTGTTGATAAAATATATATAAAAAAACAACTTTAATTAACATACCATGTCAATATCTTTTATGTTCAAGATTTTTTTGTACCCATTGGTATTGTCATGAAAGTTCTCCTTGAATTTTTCATACTTTCTTTCATCAAACAATGTTTATGTTAGATAAGCAGTGTGTAACCAATATAATCATATGTGAATTTCAGTTGAATATATATAATTATGTTAAAGAATACATCATATTTGTATAATCATATGTGAATTTAAGTTGTAAAAAAATTTAATATTCATAAATGAATACATCATATTGGTGTATTCATTTATGAATAAGGAAGGAATTAAGGTTAGAACATAAACTTACAGAAACTCCAACTTTCAAGAAAAGTATGTATGGTGAATTTCCAAAATCCCTTTCCAGTTCTTGGTGGTTAAGTAAATCAGACCAAGTGTCTAAAACTTCTCCAAAAATCTCTTTGTTTGCATATAGACTTTCCATAACTGCTCTTTCTGTTGTTTAACCATATTTTGTCTGGACAACCACATCTATGCAAATATATAATCAAAATGTCATAGATTATTATCTATATAATAATCATATATGAATGTATATAAAATAAAGTTACTTACGATGTATTGCCTTGGAAGTTGAACAACCATTCACAGACAATACTCTCCTGATGTGTCAGTTTGGGTTTTGTGTCTGTTATTCTGCATTTGAAAGGTGATTTGAAAGCATCAACAAGCTTCTTCTCTCTTGGTTGATCCAAATCATGCTTTGATGGTCCTACTTCAGTAGGAATTGATACAGAGATTGCATTTGGATTAAGAACATTTTTCTTTGCTAATCTGATAACAACCTTCTGATGGTCGTCTTTGATTTGTTTCTTTGTAAGTTGTTTTTTTGGTAAAGATTCATTAGATTTTTTTACTTGAAGTTTGATCTGAATCTTGACTGAGACCTGGACTAAAGCTTGGATGAGTATCTGCATGCCAGGAGATTTATCATATAAATAGTTGTAAGTTAATTATAATATTTGAGTTTATATTTTGAAATGTTTATCCAAATTGTTACCTCCTTTATTTCCTTTTGTCTTGTCAGCGTTTTCTCCTTTTTTGTTTTGATTTTCTGACTTTTTCTTTCCTGAAAGATAAAGAACTTTGATTAAGTAATTCATATGTGAATAAGTAATGTATTCATGTATGAATAAGTAATGCATATCATTATTTATGAATAAGAAATATTAAATTTTTTTTTTATATTGCGTTATTTATTTGTGAATAATAAAACTTATTATATTCATTTCTTAGTGATTCAACTATTTACCTTTATCTTCTGCATTTCCTTTCTCAGTTTCTGTATGTTTATCTTCACCTCCATCTTTTGTGTTCTTAGCTTCTGTTCCACCTTTATTTCTATCTTCAGAGTTTTCCTTGCCTGAAACATATACATCATATATGAATATTTTTTATTTTTTATTCATTTATATAGTGTATTATTCACTTATGAATAAACAATGTTATTAAAAAAAATCAATATAAATATTGTAATATATCATTTACCAGTATCATCTCCCTTTGTTTCTTCAACTTTTGTTCCTTGTTCATGTACACCTTCTGATTTTTCCTTTTCTGCAAGAGTATTAGTTTTATTTGTACTCAATGGTGACCCTGGTCAAAATTTAACAAACAAAATTGTAATTGTGTATTAATATTTTTATATATTTTTTAAAAATAAAAGTAACACAAAATTTACCTATATCAATACTATCGAAAATAGTTTTCATTTCAGGGTGGTTCCAGATTTCATCTTCTTGACTATTTAAACTTGAAATTCCAATTCCATGGACATTGTCCACAATGTTGTCAACAACTTTATCCAACAAATTTTCATTTTCAGTTTGTTGAGCAGTCTCTTCATGATTATTCGTTTCCTCAGCATGATCATCTTTTTCCTCTTAATCAATCTCATTTTCATTCCTCTTTCCATCTTTCTCTTTTACTCCAATTTCACATTCTTTTTTATTCTTATCTGCATCATTCTTTATTCCTTCATTATCTGCTTCATCTGAATCAAGCAAATAATCTACTTGTAATGTCCCAAAATTCAAGGCCAAAACTTTCATTTTTTTAAATAAGTTATTACATAAAACCATCAGTATAAAAACATTCATAATATTATCTTGTGCCAAACCAAAGTGTCAGTAATCAAAACATATTATCATAAAACCATATCAGAGTGTAATCCCAAAAGATCTCATGTGCGGAAAACATAGTGTGATGCGCTACGATCGAGCCGGTTCCTTTCCTTTGAAAACGAAGTACCTGAAACCAAAACTGAAAATCGTAAGCACGAAGCTTAGTGAGTTCCCCATCATACCACATACAATATAATCACATAACATATAAATACTGTCAGGCATATATGGGTGCCCGACCTACCCATTTGATCCTCTCAACCAGATATTGGCTAGCATATCAGGGTGCTGGCCTCCCCTTCGGTCCTCTTGACCGGATACTGGCTAGCATATTTGGGTGCTGGCCCCCCCTTCAGTCGTCTCGACCGGATACTGGCTAGCGTATCTGGGTGATGGCCTCCCCTTCGATCCTCTTGATCGGATACTAGGGACTATTTCATCCCTATACTACTACCACATAGCATATATCACATAATCATATCCTATGTAGTCTGACTGGGTATGACTACCCCTCTTCGGCCCTATCAATCGGAAATCTTGGGGACTATCTCCCCTACTGCTACTGGCATATAACATCATATCATACTAGCACATAACATATTAGGTAGAAGAAAACCTAGATGAATATCACAAAGACAATCATCTAACATAAAACTCCTACTGGTGGGCCGACATTGTGGTCGTAGACCCACCGCTATTAGAAGGTAACTCACCTCACACTCCTGAAGTCTCGTAGACACAATCCCACACTTGCTGAAGTCCCGCAGACTCAACCCCAGCTGTTGGATGACAGATTCCCAAACTGCCAACACCAAAACAACACCCAATTAATAATTGGATCCCAACACATAACCATAATACATACTTAGATAATTACTTCATTACCCCAGGCTTGGCTTATATAAGCCTAAGGCCCAAAGCCAACTAGAAATCAAAGCCCAACATATGGCCCAATTTTACAAATTAGGCCTAGGCCTATATGTGGTCTTATTCTAATGCCCAACATTATACAATCATTAAGGCCCAACTATGGCCCATCTATGGCCCAATTTTCCAAATTGGGCCCAACCCCTTACAAGAGACTTACCCTAGGCCCATAAAATTATTTTTGTCCATATAATTATCCTTGGATGGCCCATTAATAATTCAATCATCAAGGCCTAATGGGAAGGCCCAATAATAAACCCAGGTGAAATTAGCGTTTCCCATAAAACGATGATTAGGGTTAAGTTTCCTACCTAACCCATTAATCACTTAATCCTCTAAGGACTTAATCCATTAAGTCCAATATTGCTTAGATTAATCCTTGGCAATGATTATTATTTAATTTCTCAAGTAATTAAATAATTCCCGTGAGTCCCGATTAATTTCCCAAATTAAGGTTTTACTAGCATTAGGGTTTTCCAATACAAATATTAGCCCATTTATCAATCTGTTGGGCTTTTGGGTTAATTAGGGCTTTATTAGGCCTATTAGGCCCACAAGAATATCATTAATCCCATTAGGGTTTTATTGGGTCAACTGGGGTCCATTAGACCCATTAGGGTTTCCATAAGCCCATTTGGCTACAATGAGCCCATTAGCCTAACATGGCCCATTAGGGTTTCAAGCACCCCAAACGAATCACACTTGACGAGGCAAGACACACCGCCACCCGACACGGCGGCCGGTAGCGGCAGGAGGCGGAAGCGACCACCCTAAGGTGGTGGTTTTCAATTTCTTTCATTATACTTTAGGTAATTACAGTTTACAATGCCTTAACCAAGAATAAACGCACACACTAACTACATCAACACGCACCCATGGCGGATTATGGTGGCAACCACCACCCTATGGTGATGGTGATGCCATTTCCGAGAACTTCAGCCATACGCACACACACACACACATAATGGACATAAACTGATATAAATTCTTCTGAGCACATATTTGTTTGAAACCCACAGTCAAGCTGAGATTGCCACATGCCGGAGTACTGGACAGAGTGAACCAACCGCAAGGAGGCAGAGGCGGCAGCGAGCCACAATGACAGTAGCAGCGGGTGGCGGGTTGTGACTATGTCTAGTGCCAAAATTACGGAGGAGGGATGAAGCAAATAACATCAGTAGTAGCTACGAAGGAGGGAATCTGCTTGATCTTCATTGACGGTACAAGGGCCACCGACGTCGCTGGGAGATGCGGCATCCGGCGGTGGCTTCGTCTTCCTCACAGGCGGTACAGCGACTCAAACGGCGGCTGGAACAACAGTAGGGGAGGAGGATGGCATACATCCGATGACAATGCAGCAGGTGGAACCCAGCTTACTGACTCGGTGATGCAACTGGTGGCCAACGAGGGCTCTAACAGTGATGAAAGCACCATAGACCGGACTCAACTATCGCTTGGCGGCCATGGATGGTCGGAAGTGGAAGGGAAGGGGGCATAAGGTGGTGATGGCGGCTGCAAGAAGGAGACATAAGGGGGTGACGATTGATGTTCCTTTAGGGATAGGGTTTAGTAAGGGCAACGCAACAGTTATATATCCGACTCCTCAAACTATATTCCATGTTGACACTATCGGCCCCTCTTATCAAGATTCATTTTCAAAAGAAGTCTACAAATTACCAATTAAACACTGCCCCTTGAATTCCTTTACCAAATAAGTCCGGATTTTACTAAACGAACCCCATCTTCTAAAATCTTTACAAAACCAATCCAGAATTTACCTTTTTAACCCCCAACTGTCAGTTATGACATATTCAGCCTTCACCTCTCATTTCATTTTAAACCAAATCCAAATAATTACCACGGAGCCCTTGTCTTCATAAATATTTACAAACGAAGTCCGACTCTCACAATTTTAACCAATAAATATTTACAATCGAAGTCCGACTCTCACACTTTTAACCACCAATTACTAAATTATGCCAATTTACGCCTTGAAACCACCCCCCCTGCATATGTAATTAATTATTTGAGGCTACCATTTGCTCATTAATTTATTTATTTAACGTAATAAATAAATTGGTGTTACAAATCTCCCCCACTTAAATTAGATTTCATTCTCGAAATCATTCCTTATCCTTCCTTACTCACCCAACCACTCTAGTAACATGGTCACCATCATGGCCACACCCGAGCCTTCCCAGGGTAGCCATAACCAATCCTCGTAAGGCCCTACAATCTGTAGATGAACAAAATTCTCGAAACAAGGTAACATTTACTCGATCTGAATTTGTTGTCTTGAGATGATCTGTATCCCTAATAGACCACTCATACTGAATCATTATCGTTGTATCCAATCTGTTTATTCCTCAACTGTTCACTCAACTTCTGATAGTTCGAGGTTCCCACTATAACACAGGGTCACAGACCCACTTAACCTTGCAGACTACTAATCCTTTTCCAAGGCTCAGATACTCTCGTTGTGAGTGACCCGTCACTCCCCAAATCATCTAACTAGTCTGTCCATACTCGCAACGTGAAACACAAATGCTAACACTGCCCAATGCTGAAATTGCTTGAAAACTGAACTACCTAAGGCAGTGTACGCTGCTACATAGCTGCTTACCAAAAGCTACTGAGACCTCTTGGGTCTCAATTCGCTTGCCAATCCTCTGAAATATTGGGTTTCCACCCGGCTGCAAAGCCAAAGGGCTCCCTACTTAGTTGCCTCACACGACTTATGAACGAAATCCTTATCTAGAACTAGTTTCCACTAGTTATCATGCTAGTGTGACTCTACTACTTTCTGATCTAACCGATCGGGTCCATGCGTCGAATCTTGTTATCATCAAATCCAAGACTAAAAGTGATTGCTACCTGACCGATGGTAACCTTATCTCACACATCCTGAAGCAATCTATTGCTTCTCTAATCTCATAACTGTAGTGATGTCCCTACAGTCTCATTACTAGCTTAACCAAATCTAATCCATTTGGGTAAATCCAAAATCCATTCCATGGACTTCCATATACTCACTACTGCACCTGAACTGGTGGTTACTTCTGTTCCTTCAGCATTCTAACAACATGCTCATGCCATCTACCAACCTAGGTTCCCGAACTCACCCAGTCCTCAACTGCTGAAAGATTCCCATTAATGTCAACTAACTACCTGATTAATATAGCCACATGCAACAGAGATCAGATAATCCTTCGAGTAAAAGACCCATCCCTAGAACGATTGGACTTAGATAAGAGCTGCACAATAGGGTCAAGTCTCTCACTTTGAGATTATCCGGCCTGTGTCCCATGTGACCTAGTATATTCAGTTAATAGTTGGCTCACATTACTAAGAGTCCCACAAAGCACAAAGCAAGCAGCATTCAGACAATAGAAAATCTAACCATCATATTCCAATCAAATCATTCTACCCTCCATTTAGGAATCTATACATGCAATTCAAAGGCTCATACAATCAGGCATAACCTAAACAGACTATCATATCACTGACTGATCAGTACTAGCATGCAAGTATACAAGCACATACAATAGGCATATAAGGCATCCTCCTAGATGCTCAGCCCTAATCTAGCACGTAGTTCTCATAACCATATCATATCATAAAATGTATGGGTATCTTGGGGAAAACTTACTTGAGCTCGGCTGATTGCACGCATCACACACCATATTCTATTCAAAGTCATTTTCTCTTTTCAAACTTCTTTTTATAAAATTCTTTTACTTTTAAAAAATTTCATACCAAGCACTTAGTTTGAGTTCAGACACACCCGAGAGTATGTCTGGATCCTTCAAACTAAGGCTCTGATAACAACTTGTAACGTCCCAAAATTCAAGGCCAAAAATTTCATTTTTTTTCTAAATAAGTTATTACATAAAACCATCAGTATAAAAACATTCATACTAATATCTCGTGCTAAACCAAAGTGTCAGCAATCAAAACATATTATCATAAAACCATATCAGAGTGTAATCCCAAAGATCTCATGTGCGGAAAACATAGTGTGATGCGCTGCGATCGAGCCGACTCCTTTCATTTGAAAACGAAGTACCTGAAACCAAAACTGAAAACCTTAAGCACGAAGCATAGTGAGTTCCCCCATCATACCACATACAATATAATCACATAACATATAAATACTGTTAGGCATATCTGGGTGCCCGACGTACCCCTTCGATCCTCTCGACCGGATACTAGCTAGCATATCTAGGTGCTGGCCTCCCTTTCGGTCCTCTCGACCGGATACTAGCTAGCATATCTGGGTGTTGGCCTCCCATTCGGTCCTCTCGATCGGATACTGGCTAGCATATCTGGGTGCTGGCCTCCCCTTCGGTCCTCTCGACCGAATACTGGCTAGCATCTCTGGGTGCTGGCCTCCCCTTCGGTCCTCTCGACCGGATACTAGGGACTATTTCATCCCTCTACTACTACGCCATAACGTATATCACATAATCATATTCTACCTAGTCTGACTAGGTATAACAACCCCTCTTCGGCCCTATAGACCGAAAATCTTGGGGACAATCTCCCCTACTGCTACTGTCATATAACATCATATCATACTAGCACATAACATATCAGTTAGAAGAAAACCTAGATGAATATCACAGAGACAATCATCTAACATACAACTCCTACTGGTGGGCCGATATTGTGGCCGTAGACCCACCACTACTGGAAGGTAACTCACCTCACACTGCTGAAGTCCAGTAGAAACAATCCCACACTTGCTGAAGTCCGGCAGACTCAACCCCAGCTGTTGGATGATAGATTCCCGAACTGCCAACACCAAAACAACACCCAATTAATAATTGGGTCCCAACACATAACCATAATACATACTTGGATAATTACTTCATTACCCCAGGCTTGGCTTATATAAGCCCAAGGCCCAAAGCCAACTAGAAATCAAAGCCCAACATATGGACCAATTTTCCAAATTGGGCCTAGGCCTATATGTGGTCTTATTTTAAGGCCCAACATTATACAATCATTAAGGCCCAACTATGACCCATCTATGGCCCAATTTTCATGAGACTTACCCTAGGCCCATAAAATTATTTTAGTCCATATAATTATCCTTGGATGGCCCATTAATAATTCAATAATCAAGGCCTAATGGAAAGGCCCAATAATAAACCCAAGTAAAATAAGGGTTTCCCATAAAATGATGATTAGGGTTAAGTTTCCTACTTAACCAATTAATAACTTAATCCTCTAACGACATAAGGGGGTGACGACTGATGTTTCTTTAGGGATAGGGTTTAGTGAGGGCAATGCAACAATTATATATCTGACTCCTCAAACTATATTCCATGTTGACACTATCGGCCCCTCTTATCAAGATTCATTTTCAAAAGAAGTCTACAAATTACCAATTAAACCCTACCCCGTGAATTCCTTTACCAAATAAGTCTGAATTTTACTAAACGACCCCCATCTTCTAAAATCTTTACAAAACTAATCCAGAATTTACCTTTTTAACCCCCAACTGTCAATTATGACATATTCAGCCTTCACCTCTCATTTCCTTTTAAATCAAATCCAAATAATTACCACGGAGCCCTTGTCTTCATAAATATTTACAAATTGAGTCCGACTCTCACAGTTTTAACCACCAATTACTAAATTATGCCAATTTACTCCTTGAAACCACCCCCTGGATATATAATTAATTATTTTAGGCTACCATTCGCTCATTAACTTATTTATTTAACGTAATAAATAAATGGTTGTTACACTACTTCTGGTTGACTTGCATCATTATCACTGTCTTCTTCACCATTTCCCTCTTTATCTTCATTTTCTTTTTGATCATTTGTTTTTAGACACATTATTGGTGTCAAATTGATTCCTTCAACTCCAGTTTCATTACTTGGAAAAATAGAAAGTGTTGTGCTTTCAGTTTTTTCTTCAACAATCATATTTGTCATCTTTTCTTTGAAAATTCTAAAACTTTCCTTTTTAGGGAACTTTGTCATCGCATCATTAAGCTTTGAATTCAACTTTTCCTTCATCCTCTCAAAACTATTAAGCATTTTCGATATTTTTTATTCATATGCCTATGTAACAAAAAGAAGTATATGATTAGAATTTAATATAACAATTTAATCTAATCATATAATATCAACATGTTAAAACTAATTACCTCAACATAATGATGTTCATCTTTATCAGAATCACTGTCTTCGAGATCTGTATCTCCTTCATCTTGTTCATTAACAAATTCTTCGTTTAATTATCCAACTCCAAATATACCTTTTTCTTGTTCAAATGTCTCTCGATATCTATTCTTCTTTGAACTCCAATAACAAATTGTTGGACGTTTACGTGTTACTGTTAAAGCTTCTGAGTGGATGTTATCAGCATAGAACAACTGCACATAAATGATAACTAATTGATATTCATATATGAACAAGTAATATTATTTTTACTTATTCATATATGAATAAGTAATGTAAAGCATTACGTGTGAACAAATATATTTTTCTTATTCATATATGAATATTTGCTATTAGTTTATGAATAATCAATATTATTAAAAATTGAGTATAAACATTATAATAACTTACCACCAAGAAAGCTGAAGGTCCAACAAAGAAGTTGTTATTTGAGTATGTTATGTATGAGTTTTTTGTTCTGACAACACAGTCCAAAACATAGTTGCACCAGTCTATGTTGCTGATATCTGTTTTTCTTGAAATATAACTCAAGGGAAACAGGTTGCATCTTCCCATTGATGTTGACTCGCAAAAAGTGTTGACAAAAAGAACTAAGAAGTTCAATTTGAAACTGAAACCAGCTTGTGTGGTAGAAACAATAACATTTTTTATTGCACTCAGTTGGATGATTGAATCTTTTTTAAATTGTTGCTTCCATTCATCATAACTTTTATCATCCTTAG